AGCTCAGCGGCATAAGCGCCTGCCTTGTAAGCAGGCAGTCGTGAGTTCGATCCCTGGTACCGATAAAAAGCAAAAAGACAAAAAAAAAAAAAAAAAAGATTAAAAAGACAGAAAAGAAAAACAAAAGGAAATACAGACAAACAACACTGTATAGGTTTACAAAGTAAGATAATAGGAATTTGGTAATGGTTGTAATATTTTATATTGTTACCTTCAAGAAGGTTGCTTAGATTAACAGATATAGTCATGTAAAATTGATCTAATCATATGAGTATTAACTGTTCTCTTCCAATAACTAATACAATTAGTAGTGTAGTCGGTTTAGCTAACATATATATATATGGATAAGAAACTGTTCAAAAAGGAAAAGTAATTAGAATAAGAGAAAGAAGGAATGGAAAAGTAAAAAAGACAATAATTTAATTCTGCTTATAGATCCTACAGATCAGGAATTCAGACAGCACCGTGGGCATGACTTGTTTCTGCTCCATGATATCTGGGGCTCACAAGGAAGGACTCCAGATCTGGAAACTGCTTAATGGTGGGTCTAGAATCTCCTGGAAGCACATTATTCATTCATTTATATGTCTGCTATCTGAGCTGATGTGACCCAAAGACTAGAATCACCTGCTGGATCACCTACCCATGGCCTCTGCAGCTACCTACGAAACTGGGTCAATAGGTTTTCGATGTCACAACAGGTCATCTCACCTGGCAGTTGAGTTTATATCTTTCCAAACTGATTGAAGAATCAGAGGGCACTGCCCCACTGACAAAACTTGATGAAATTTAATCTATCTTCTATATGTTTTCACATTGATTGGTAATTTTTAAAGGGAATGAAGAAAATTTACCATCAAAATACAGAAAAATTTTTCATAAATAAACTGAAGGAACAAATATGATAAAACCTCTACTACAGTTTTCTGAGGTACTGTCTGGACTGTGTCTCAGCCCAGCAAAGGGGCTGCTGCTACTGGCATCTGGAAGCTTTGAAAACATGTGTTCTGGCTTGTGTCTAGATGTCCCCACAAAGCCTCATGCAGTTATAGGTGGGGCATATGCAGAGGTGGCTGGATCTAGAGTGTGTGATGCTGGGATTGATTCATGATGCCATGATAGGGATCAAGGGCATTAGGGTTACGGGTGTGAGTGCTACTCTAAGTACTCTGAATTAGATATGAGGAATAGAAAGAGCTATGGCCATCCCTTGTTGCTTTGCTACCTTTAGCCCACCATGAACTATTTCTCCTCTACAATGCCTGTCTACTGTGCCACCTGGCCGTGGAGCCAGCCAATTATGAAGTAAAACCTGTAAGGTGAGCTAGCTAAACCTTTCCACTTTTAATTTTGGGTGTTGGGTGTTTGGGTGTTGACTCAACAATGAGAGGAAAGTAAAACAACACTCCTATGAGTGTGCTTCTAATAGGCAGACAGGAGGTTTGCCCTGTGTCCAGGAAGCGTAGAGCACTATGGGATATGAGGTAATCTCAGACTAGGGGAATAGGAGAGGAAGGAACAGGATACTCAGGCTTTCCCTCAGTTGACAAGGCCTGGTCAACACTGTGTCCTCTTTGTCCTGGGCATGGATCTTCAGCAGCAGCACATCTAGGATCTGGGAGTCAGTGGTGAGGTGGACACTACAAGACCCAGAAATAGACTCATTACCAAAATCCTCAACCATGTAGAGAATCAGCGATTGCAGCAGAAAATCAGGTCCCCAGATTGGGAGCGGGAGCTAAGATGAGGTCCCTCAAGTGAGTTCCTATCTCCTTGCTCCCCTCCCTGCTTTGAGGCTCATCGCCTATCCCTGGTTGCTTTTCTGGTCTTGGACATCTCAACTCCTGTCTGAGAAGAGGAGCCTGAAAACCAATGCTCAGGTCACTGCATGGGAACAGCCCAGGGCTGGCATCTCCGCGACTTATCCCAAGGTGGGGTGTCTTGGTCTCCTCCTACAAATTCATACCTGGCCTCCTGCTTTGGGGCTGTTCTGGTCCAAGGCACCTGCAGTTTCACCACCATGAGGGACCCAGCTTCCAAGCTCCTGGTGCTAAAACTCACTTTTTAACTAGAAGAGGAGAAAGGCAACTAGAAATGATTACTTAGGGAGGCCTGGGCTGCACCTGGCACCATTCATGGGTCTCCCAACACAGGGCCTACAGCTCAGTGGTGCAAAAAAGACTGGATGGGAATCTGGGTGACAAGAGAAAGACTGAACAGGAGGGGGCGCTGTGCAGATTTCTTCGGGATGCACAGGTTGGCTTGGGTAATGTATGACTCGGGGAACTGGGCCCTAAAGGGTTGGAATCTGGGAGCTTTCAGAGTGCTTCAAACACAGTCACCAGTCACCACATTCCTGGGTGACCCCCAAGAGAGGGGCTCAAGTGAGATCAATTCCAAGAGAAGCTAAATGTTCTTCAATAGCAGCTGGCGCCAAAAAACCATAGAAATGAGGTTGGGGAGTGCACACAGGCCAACAGGCACGCACACACACACACACACACACACACACACACACACACACACACACACACACACTGGGTTCTGGGGCACCACGAGAAAGCCCAGGATGTCACAGAAGGCACATTGGTGCCCGCCAGAGGCGGCCAGCAGGGCACTGGATGTTTTCCTGCTGGTACCAGGCAGGGAACATCCCCTGTGGGCCAGCCCTCAGTGGGTGGGACCTTGGAAATGTCGGGAAAGGACAGGAGCTTCACAAGCCTTGGTTCCTCCCCTCCCTGCTAGAGGATGTTCTCCTCACCAGGGATTCTGCTTTACTTCAGAATTTCTGGCCCTTGCAGCCAAGAAGCAGGTAGAAAAATTTGTTTCCTTTAATAAATAAAATAAAGTCTCCATACCTCACCCTGGCCTCCAGGCTGATTCTGGTAATACAGAGTCAAGCGGGTTTTGCAGTATGTATATGTTTTAATAAACAAGAACCATTTCCCCAGCCTCATGTTAAACAGAACCTCTTCTTCAGGAAGGCCCTGCAGTATGCTGTGAAAATAAAAATGTGCACACTGAAGTGATCTCTCACATCACAGAAAACACAGACAGTTTCTCCTGAGGGGCGCTGGCAGAATGGGTGACAGGAAGTCATCCCGACCCTTCCCCATTCCAGAGCTCCTGAATGCAGTCGGCTCACCATACACCCTCATCAGCAGATCACACCATCCTCAGGGGGATAGCCTCAGCAAGGACCCACAAAGAAGTGGCCACCACAGGACCCACTATCATCTGCAGCCTGGATGACCCAGGGCTGCTGTGGAGACTTGCAAGCAATGGAGTCCGGCATTTGGTTTCTTGTGATTGTTTTTTAACTAGGTAAATAATGTTTCAGAGGCAAACATCTATAAAATGAACTGCTCTGCCTCATGGGGCTTGTCACAAAGATGAGGGCTTTTTCTCTCCAACTACACCAACATCCCAAAGGGTATGAAAATCCCTCTCAACTGAGTGACTCTGAGAGGTTTGGGAGCAGGAGATTCAGCACTGCCTCGCCAAGCACCTCATAAAAGGATGCACTCCCCACACGTCTGAAAAGCCCCACTAGAGCTCACAGTCCCCCAGGATGGAAGACCAACTGTTATTCCCAAGAGGGACAGTGTCCAGGGTCACACAGGCCTAGGCCATGAGCAGAGCTGGTTGCAGAACTGGGGTGTGGTTTTGATGCCGCCCGTGGCAGCCTTCCCCTCCAGGCTCCTCTGTGCATCCATCAGGCAGGGGCAGCAGCCTGTGGTGCAGAGTAGAAAGCAGTTCTCCTGGTAGGGATAGAAGGAGGGAGGCCTCTCTCCAGGGAATGGCCCAGTCCCCAAGGTGTGGCTCTATACAGCACAAGCAAAGAAGCACCACGCGATACAAAGACACTCAAGAGCATCACTGCATGCTGATTTATTCTCTCTGGGGCAGATCACCCATTTCACCTTGCTCTTTAAGAAAGTTCCCTTAGTGAAGGAGTAAACATTGGTCCCCATGATTCTCAGACCTCTCTCACTGGGCCACGATTTGGCCAAGGAATATTAGAGGACATCACAACAGCATAGAATTGAAACAGGCTTCAGGGGCTGGGCTTGCCTTCTTAGGTTTCTGTGACAGCCACGAAGAGGACATCCCATTCTCTCTCCAGACTCGGTCTCAAGACAAGATAAGTGGATCCAAGACTTCACTGACCTATATCCAGGCAATCCACAGGCTTATGAGCCAGGAAAAATGTTGACTGAGGCAAGCTTGTTGTGCAGCATTGCCATGGCAGTAGCTGACTGATACACCTTTGTCTCAGGATAGGTTCTAAGATTAATGTATAAAAATCACTTGGGCAAAAATTGAATCTCAGGAAATCATCATCATCAATCAATAATTCTCTTCTAATCCCTAGAGAACTCTGTGGGACTGCTAAATTAATTGCATTTTCCCTGCTTAATGACATTTGGTTTTCCTACTGTTTTCAGAATAAAGACCAAAACTCAATATGACAAATACTCCCTGCTTAAGTCATTGTCCATTACCAGCCCTGTACTTTTACCACAATGTACGTTTCTGGCCATAATTCTGTCAATATGCCAAGCTCTCTCACACTCCATCCTGCTGTATAATATAAGTTCCTGGCTCTTCCCACAGTCCCCTTCCCCTTTGGCTGCCTGCTGAACCCAGTGCCCGTTCTCCAAGGTTTGCCCAGCTTTCAAGGTAAGGAAACACATGCTAATGCTGAGCCTGCAGCCAGCCTCCCCTATCACCCTGGCCCCTCCAGGTCTAGGAGTCCCAGATGGGGTGAGGGTTGCAGCCCTACGAGGCACAGAAATAACCAAACAGGTCCCTTCCAGGCTGATGAGTCAAGCCCTCTCAGTCAACCTGTCATGTTTTTCTGAAGCCTCCCACAGGCCAGTCCCACTGCTCCTGCTCCAGCCACAGCCAGCAGAGAGCATGGACTCTTGCCTTTATCTATCTTCTGTTTCACTTCTGGCGAGCATAGCCAAGCACTCACCATCTCCTGGGTCCCTTACCTGATGTCCACCTGCCCAGCTGGTCCCTTTCCACAGACAGATGAAGACAGATGTGGCGGATAGAAACTCCCGTGTTCAGCAGGGCTTTGTTGCCATTCTGGGTTGGAGGAAGAACAGTGGTGACTTACCTGGATTCAGCACACCTGGAACATCCTCAGATTGGCAATAGGCAGACGTTGCTGAGTACAGGTGAGGTCACTGGGAAAGCAGTGCTCCCCCAGGCTGCTGGAGGGCAGACAGGCAGCAAAACCATGCTGAATTGTGGCTTCCACTGAACCTGTGAATAGCATCTCTTGGCTATGACTTGGTGGCTTTGGAGAAGCCTGCACACACATGCGTAAAGACACACATAGATGGGTACATATACCAGTATTACTTCCAATCGCAAAGAGAATTTGGAAACAACCTTCAGATCTATTAATAGGATGGATTTTTTTAAATATAGAGAACAGCAGTTAAAAGAAATGAGCTCAAATTGCTAGTTTGGACATAGGCCTATAAATCACATTGTCGAGTAAAATAAAACAAGTTGCAAAATGATATGAATAGCATAGTGCCATTTATGAAAGGAAAAACACAACCAGGAATATTATTATTATTCCCTGGGGGGTAAGTGAGTGCATAGGAAAGAATTCCTTTTGTTTTTTTAGGACTGAATACATCAAACTCATTATAGAGGATACCACTGGGAAGAAGAGAAGGGATTACGATACAGAGAGATGGAGACCTGAGATTTATCTATTGTATTCTCAAATTTTTCATGGGCAATGGAGCACTGTAGTCATATAATATCTGTGCAATTTGGGGCAACTATGATAAATGTTAACAGTGAAAATAAGAGAACTGTTATTTTGGACTAGATATTCTTCTGCGTATTTTCAGTTTTATTTTAAAATGGCCAGAGGAATTGTTCAACCAGCTATTGAGTGTCCACTGGGTGCCTGGCCACAGCAAAGGCCGTGAACATGAAAAACTCCTTTGATGACAGAAAAGCAGCGATGCCGGAGGAAGGCACAGAATGGGTGCCAAGTCCAGCGATGACTAAAAGCATGTTCATTAGCAACCAGGCTGCTATCCAGGAAAATCGCCACCCAATGGAAAATGTATTTTCCGTTTTAATAGTGATGGAGACTAATCAAAACTAGCTTCAACTCTGAAGTGTATTAAGGACCCAATTAATAACTTTGATTCAAGCAATTACTTAAAATTGGAATTTGCTAAGCGAGTAGAATGAGGCATTCATTAGCGCAGTGATGTGTGTTACCTGGCAGGAGCAGGAAGTCCTGGAGTGGAGAAAGACACGGGGTGGAGGTGAGTTGTTCTCTTTCCTGTGAGGTGGGAAGCTGCTCATAGCCCACCAGGCACCAGCGGGGCCATGTCTAATCTAAATGCATGGTTTTCAATCGTGTAGCCCAGGTTTATCTTACGTGGCCCATGACTTTAATTTTTAAAGGCTCACAACATATACTGGTTTCTGTTCATCCCAGAAGATCCCAAGACACAGGCTGAAGTGCAAGGGCTGATGCAGAGAAGGAGACAAGCGACCCCAGGAAGGCAGACACCCAGAAAAGGTGTACTGTTCAAGCAGCCAACCTGGGATGACAAGGCAGGCACCTTACAAGGAGAAAGACTCTTGGTTTGCTAGTCAGCTGATCTTGAGATGGGAAAATGACCCTCAATTATCCAAGAGGAGCCAGTTTTACCCAAAAGGAACCAATGTTATCAGAAGGAAGTTTATTTGAGGAAGAAAAAGATATATTGAGGATAGGAGATGTGAAATAGGAAAAACTCAGCTGGCCACTGCTGGATTTGGAGGTGGAAGAGGAAACCACAAGCCAAGAAGTGCAGGCAGCTTCAAAACACCAGCAAAGGTGAGGAAATGCACTCTCCCTGAGAGTCTCCTGATGGCCCTGTCAACACCAGGAGCTTGGCTCAGTAAGACCTATTTCAGACTTCTGACCTCGAGAGCTACAAAGTAATCACTGATGTTGTTGCTAAATTTATCAAAGTGTGTAACAGCAGCAATAGGCGGCAAATTCTGACAATTTTAAGAAATTCTAGGAAATGGTGCAAAACCTATCTAGAATTAGCCCAGCCTAGGTGAAAAGGCCCGGGGTATTTCGACATCTAAGTCATCAGTGAGAGTGACTCCTGTGGGTCTGGGAAGGGGTAACAGAGTCGCCTTCCATCGCAGCCATCAAAACCATCAGGCACAGGGATGCACTGGCCATGGGAAAACACAAAAGTTCACTAAATGGCAGGGTCTGAAGCCACTGCTGCGAGTCTGCAGTGTCCCTGTTGCCATGTCACATGTCCCTCGGGGCACTGTTTCACCTCCACCTTGCAGCAATTCTGGGCCAAGGTCCAGAGTAGCTTCATTTTTCCTAGGCAGTGAAATGGAAGCTCAGAGAGACTAAGTGACTTCCTCAAAGTCACACAGCTTGCAAGTGTCAAGGCCAAGGTTGGAAACACAGCTACTCAGTCCCAGGAGCTGCTTCCTTTCCTCTCCACCACGGCAAGGAGGCCCTCTGGCAGCATTTGCTATGTGTGAACCCAAAGGTCAAATACATCCAGGGATCAGCACACCAACCTGCACTGCCGGATGCCTTACAGTAGCCACAGCTGCCAGCGACCTCCAGCTACTGATTCCACAATGAACCCACACCGCCAGGAGGGTTCCAAAGTCTCCCTTCCCACTCCCCAATTTCCACTAGGGGAAGAGGCTAGGAAATAGCGCGGCCCTGACTACATCAAAATGCCAATGGATAATGGGTGAATCTCCCTTCCCGAAAGTCCAATTTACCTCCCTGGACTTGGCCAAAAACCCCCGAGGGCAGTTCATGCCACTCCATACTGGCAGGAACCACTCCTCCAACTGCAGATGGCAGCAATGAGGGCTGGCTATGGGGGCCTGAGAGTCTGGGGGAGAAAGAGATTGCCAAGGTCTATAGGGAACCCATAGCCGAGTGGCAGAGAACTTGAGGAGCAAGTTTCCTGATTCCTAAAATCAGGAATGTCTTGAGATACTCTTCCCAGTGGGTCACAGTGGAGACCATGCATGAGCAGCATGTGGTTCATTCCAAACCCTCTATAAATGGCAGAGATCTTCGCCACCCCAAGATGAGGCTGACGCTCTGTCTGGAGGATGGAGTCCTGGCTTCCTTTTGACATCTGGTGGGCTCTGAACTTGCTGAGAACACACGGATCTGGTGCTACCCTGCCTCCATCATCCGTCACCCTGCTGACCCGGGACTTGTGAGTTAGGTCCTTCACCCAGGAATCGGGCATAGTTGGCCCCTCCCAGAGCCTACAGGAAGGATGAATGGGGCTCTGTGCTTGAGACATCGGTGCAAAGCCACCAACAGGCAGCAGCACCTGTCTGCCACCTTCCTCTCTACCAGCCACCACAAGCTTGTCAGGGCCCTGCTGAAGCTGGCATAAGATGGCCCTCCCTCTGCCCCACAGCTGGCCAGGACGGGCCTGGGCCAGGAGTGGTAGCAGCAAACCAGCTACCAAGACAGATTTGCCTTCAGGGCAACTGCTGCAGCAACCAAGGTGGACTGCCGCAGACACAACAGACACAAGCTTCGAGGCCGCCTCCCCGCTGACATTTCTGCCCCTCCAGTCACCCCCTGTCTGTGTAGTCCCTTTTCTAAAGGCACAAAGGTCTGGTCTTCGAGGAGTCGGCCATGTTGAACAGGTCACTGTGTCTCTCAGGGCTCATTCTCCTGTACTTCCTAACAGTCAAAGAGGATGAGGCAGCACAGCCATCCGGTGCCACATGCTGGATGCATCAGTAAGTTGTAAGCAGCCTGATAGCCATGCTGCACCCCACCCCAGCTTTTACCAAACCCCTGTCACATGCTTGTCCAGCTCCTATGCCTCACTTCCCTTTGGCTACTGTTCCTGTGTGTCCCTTACTCAGGCAAAATCCCAGGACAGTTACAAAAAGGAATTCCTGTTTCTGAGCCCTTCAAGAATGGCTCTGCCCACACCCTGGCTGCAATGAAGGCTTGGCCCAGGTCTTGCAGGAGCCAGGGGCAGGGCCTGAAAAGGGAGCCAGAACCCCGGATGACACTCCAGGTGTCTGTGGCAGAGGTGTCCCTTCTGGGCTGCCGCGTCATGCACATCGCTGCAGGGGTCCCACCCTTGCCTGACTAGGAGGCCCCCGTTACATAATAGGTGAGAGGCCATCGTAGTAGGCTCCTTGGAAAGACTCTGGCTGGGAGATTCTCATGCAGAACATTACTGCCCAGAGAGCAGAGGAGATACTCACAAAAAGGGAAGAGGAGTAGTTGGCTGACTCCAGTGGGTGGTGATAAAGCCTTCCACTGTCCCCAGAATGGGGCATGGAGGGAGTGTCCAGGGTGACCCTTGTAGGTCTCCTAAACTGAAGCCAGGGGAATCGGGCCAACATAACTGTCCCCTCCCCCTGGGCTAGTCATTAGCAATGGGATCAGGCTCACCCTGGAGGAGACAGTTCCCTGTAGCAAGGGCAATCTTCCGTGAAGGATGCAGCTAAGCAGCTCCAGCCCCCAGGCAATGGGTGCCAAGGCCTGCAGACAACCTAGGATCAGTGCCAAAGCCACTGTGGCCACTCCAGAAGAACGTGCTGCTGTGCAGAGGCAGGCAGAAGATGGATCCCAGTGACATCGTGGAAAGTCTCCCTGTCACCTTCAGTCCTAAGCCATTGGCCCTCTGCCCTACACACCTACCGGGAACCCTACAGTGGCACTGCCTCCCCAACCCTCAGGCCCCAGGCAACCTAAGTGAGCTGCCCTATCCCCCACAGAGAAGCTAACAGAGACATAAAAGCCGCAGCTTCTCACTTTCCGGCAGCTTTGAAACACATTTCTGAGAAGGCTGTGCCTCGGAAGATGAAAAGCCCTTCTCTTGAAGAATCTGAGGGTCTCATCTCAAGCATCAGAAACAGAGTGGGTGGGCTCAGGGATATGGAAAAATAGCCTGCTTTTGTGCACCAGGTGGCGAGATAGAAAAGTCAGAAATAGGAACACACAGAAGGAAAGTACGCTCTGAATCAAAGCAGTGGAATCTTAGTTCCTGGGCGTCTGAAGCAGCAATGGGTGCATGAAGGGC